CTTGGAAATTCAGATAGTGCCACCTCTTTGCTGATCATGTTCTCCTGATACTTTATCAGTTTTCTAGATTCTCGATTTTTGTGATTTGAAGTTTGAAATTCTCGGAATTCGGATTCTTGGAAATTTTGATCGTGCCATCTCTTTGCTGATCATGTTCTCCTGATACTTTGTCAGTTTTCTAGATTCTTGATTTTTGCAATTTGAAGTTTGAAATTCTCGGAATTCCGATTCCTGGAAATTAGTTAGTGCCACCGCTTTGCTGATTATATTCTCCTGATACTTTGTCAGTTTTCTAGATTTTTGCAAATTGCAATTTGAAGTTTGAAATTCTTGGAATTTGGCACACTTCAAAATTAAAATAACAATTCAACAACGTCGTCCACCTTTCGTGGTGTTATTAGCAAAAAATCTTCTTAAGACGAGTATTTTTTACAGAAAGCACATCTGTGCCCAATTAGACCATTCTCCGTTTGCGTCCCGGACCCGTCCGCCGCTGTCACGCGGAACTCGCTCGCGTCACTAGCTTACTTTTAGGGTCGATGCAACGTGACGTTCTCGCGGCAGTTGCATTATACGTAAATTGCACCGGTGGAAAGGCCTTGAGCGATCGCCGGCGCGGTACTGACCGGCGTTAGCAGCTACCTCGGTCAGGATATTGAAATTAGAATGCTACTGTGCCGATCGATCGTGAATAACAAAAACAGTTTCGTAACGGCAGTCTTCCCGGCGCATTTCCGACCGCGAGTCGCGCCGTACCCGTTTCGGCGATGAACGCACGTCACAAGCGATCGGCATCTTTCATATTCATGAACGATGCGAGCCCTCAACGAACGATAGAGCAACATTTTTCCTTCTGAAAAGATTAGTCGTAATGGCGTTCTAAGAAAATTACATTAGAAAACTAACTTAACGTAACAAACCAAGAATTTCTTGCTATGGGAATCCTTAAAAATAGAATTCCCAGGCGCGCTTGGAAGATGCCACTACGCACTCTTAACATCCCGTAATTGAATCCGTCGTAATTTATAGCGTGTACGCGTGCAGCGTTTATCCGCATTCTATCCGAATAATACAAGATCGCGGATAAAAGCGTCGATTGCGCGATAGCTGATACCTTCGTCGACGAATGTATGCGACAACTGCGATTCCCATCGCATGCTAATTATATAATCTTGCACACCGTGCAATCCTGCAACACGAGTGGGAAGAAAGATTCTTCTTCGAGATACGCATTTTTCAGACCAGGCAAGGATGTTCGGCTCGGCAGCTGAAAAATTGGCATTCCTCTACAAGCCTTACGCATTGGCTATAGTGTCGATTGGTTATGTCCTGGCAGAATTGGGCCACTTTCTAATAGGTAAGTCCCAACGGTATGCTTTATATTTCTTCACGCATTTACATAATTTATGCGCACTTTAATCCATCGCATACGTTAATCAATCTCGAACGATCGTATTTCGTAATCGGGATTGTATATATTTTAGTCTGTTATGTTCTCCATTAATTTCGTGGCTTTTCAACCTGATTTTACTAAACGACGTCGATTTCCCCGACCAGGCGTGACGAGCAAAGCGATCGCCGAGGACCTGCATTACGGCGACATATCCTGCCAGTTTAATTCGACGACGCTGACGGTGGCCGAGCTTCCGGTGCCATGCGAAACCGCGGAGAATTCCACCTTGTAAGTCTCGTTAATGCCACCTGCTCCAGAAAGGCCCGGCTGGGAAAACGTTCCGCCGGGAGAATCGCGCGTAACTGTAAGCGCAATTAGTTCGGATTGCCGTTTCCTCCCGCGACAACTCGATTTCCTTGTAGGTGATTGATTTACCGCGCGCGGCTTAATACCGCTAAGTCACGCGTCGCTAATGAAACGAGATACTGTTACGAGATACTCGCGAGAGGACACGCGACTCCGCGCCGAGATTGATCGAGAGCCGTCGTTAACGGTCCGGAAAAAAACCTGCTAAGTGCCGCGAATAATTTTTCGCGTGATTTATGATACGCGAGAAATTCTCGTGTAAACGAATTGTATGCGATCTGCCGTGCGGTAATCGCACCGAGCAAATCGATCACGCGGATCGAGGTTTTGTTGCACACCAACGCGGCAATTATCGCGCTCGTCGTATAACGCGCTCTTTGTTGCCGCAGCTGCCAATCCCTGGAACTGAATGGATCTTATTACTGCGAGTGGAATTACAACGGCCTTGGTCTGGACTATCAAATCCTGGCGGGGCCCAGCTTCATCGCTGTCTACACGGTCGTCGGTATTATCCTGGGCGTCGCGGCTGATAGATACAACAGGTAGGCCGATCGAATCAATTCAATTCGACGATGTTGACGTCGATTCGACATCGTTTCGACAACGATCGACGAGTCATTTCTCGCGATGTGACTGCAAGTTCTGTGCTGTTACGCACGAGCCTTCGCTACCTTTAACGTTTCTTCTCTTTCGTCCCAGAGTGAAAATGCTGTCGGTCTGCACTCTGATATTCAGCATCGCGATCGTCCTGAGCGGAGCCGTGATGAAATACTGGCAGCTCGTTATTTTGCGAATGGTCCATGCGGCGGGGTAAGTCCTGGTAATAACGACAACACTTCCACTTACGGTTCGTTCGTTTGTTCGCAAGCGGACGAATGGGCAACGATCGATCGCGTTTACGTTACATTCAGATCGGAACTAATATTGCAGGGAGGCGGGCTGCAATCCGATGGCAACTGGCCTACTGTCAGATTGGTTCCCGGAAGAGCAGCGGGGCCTCGTCATGTCCATTTTTAATTGGGGCATTTACGGTGGTTACGGCATCGCCTTTCCGATCGGTCGCTACGTGACTGAACTAAATGCCTGGGATCTGGTAAGCAATATCCGATTGACATTGTCTCCTTTATATTATTTTCTCCCCCCCCCCTCTCTCTCTCTCTTGCGTTAGTTTTCAAAGCCAACGTGTTCCGGCAAGTAATTGCTCGTTATATATCCCGAGATCATTTCCGCGCGGAAGGAAAGCACAATAAAGGTCACGGTGAATTGCACTGAATTGTCTCGAATGGAAGACTAACGAAACATGTCCGACGGTGACGTGAAAAAGTACGCGTAAAACTCGAACTTTTCGGATTGAACGTTGACATAAAATATAAATTAAACGCAGGGTTGGGAAGTGACTCGTTACTTGTAACGAAGTTACAGTTAGAGTTACTTTTTTTAGTAACTCTAACTTAACTTCGTTACTTCCTCTCCATCTGTGACTGTAACTTAACTCAGTTACATTTTTTCGATAACTGGTAACTAATTTAATAGTTACTTTATATATTTTTTAAACCTCCACAGATCGCATTAGGCCTCGCATAAACGCCTTTATCGACGCCTTTACAATTCAAATGCAAATTTGATATTTTTATTTTCATTGCAAGAAAGTAACGACTCGTTACTTTTTGAATAACTGTAACTGTAACGCGTTACTTTTCAGAATCAGTAACTTGTAACTGTCACTAGATACTTTTATAAAGTAACTTTCCCACCCCTGATTACACGTTAACCGAAATATAGCAATACTAAGAATTAATGTAATCAAACTGAGCTGTTAATCGACAGGGCTGGAGGGTCTGTTATTATGGAGCCGGAATAATCGGCTTGATCGTCGCCGTTCTCACCGGTCTGACGCTAACCGAGCCGGAAAGAAAGACGATCGGCGAGGAATCGGCCAGCAACGGGCAGCAAGTATCGGTTTGGAAAGTGCTACTGCAACCGCGCATTATTCTCTTATGCCTCGCCGCCAGCATCAGACATTGCGGTAAAGGGCAATACCTTGAAGCGAAAGGATTGAGATACATATCGAGGGTACATTAGCGATCTAATCCGAGTTTGCACTAATCCGACGAATTCGCCTCGCCGTGTTACCGGCTCTTTTCTCTCTAAATACTTTACCTAATGAAATCTATGTTCGAATCCTATCGATCTTTACGAGCAAACGAGTCAAATCGAAATCAACACGGAGAGACAGATACGGTTACCACATACCTAATTAGGGTTGGCACAACCCCAATAAATAGTAATATTTGGGACAGCTATATCAAGAGGCAACTGTATGAGTTTTGTGCAGCAAACCTAGCGAATGTTGCAACGCAAAACAATGTAGATGCCCCTACTATTTATACGGCAACATTTTAATTTTAGTTATTTTATACCTTAACCGGTCTTTCCGTGTACAAGCCTATTTCTCTCTTCGATCGATTCACTTCCAATCTATATCACAATCTTTCTCCAATCGCACGTACCGCTTTACACACACAGGAGTAAATCGCCGCTTTCCTTTTTTTTCAGGCGGCATGTGCTTCGCCTACAATTGCGACCTGTACTACAGAGACTACTTCCCGGACTACGATCTCGGCTGGTGGCTTTTCGCCGTCACGATCGTTATCGGTAGTATCGGCGTCGTGGTCGGAGGGATGGTGAGCGACAAGTTCGTCGCGAAAATGGGAATTCGTTCGCGCGTAGCGTGCTTGGCGATCAGCCAATTAATAGCGACGCCGTTCGCATTCGGCTCGGTGTACTTCAATCCTCTCTGGGCCATGATCACGCTTGCGATCTCCTACTTTTTCGGTAAGACGCGACGTTGTGTAACCCGGAGCTCTAAATTTAGCTGCGACATTCGATACAATGTCGATTGCATAAATCTTGTACCTTTGAATTCGACTATCTCGTCTCGTTCGCAGCCGAAATGTGGTTCGGAATAGTGTTCGCCGTCGTGGTGGAGATCGTGCCTCTGAATCTGCGATCGACCACCGTCGGCGTTTTTCTGTTCGTCATGAACAACATCGGCGGAAACTTACCGATTCTCGTCGAGCCCACCAGAATGGCGATCGGCTTCCGGGAATCGTTGTACATTTATTACGCTGGCTTCTACGGCATCAGTAAGTAACGGAATAAGGAATTAGTTGTTATTGCTGCGGCGTATGATCGTTCGCGTCCGCCTATGTCATTGGGCTTTTTATAGAAGTCCCGATGACTTTTATAAAGTTAACTCTTGAACTATTGCTACCACGTAAACTTGACGAATCTACATGAACAGCTACGAGAAAGAAGCAGTGAGACTGCTCTCGCGAGTCTTTTTAAATCTTTGAGTGAGAAAGCGGAAGCGAGTGCGTAGTCGGACGATATTATCTTGATACTTTGTACGTAGGTTCCATAATGTTCTTCTTCACCATGTTCCTAATGGATGGTCCCGCGGAGGTGGAGAGAAAAGTGGACAAGGAAGCCCCGCCGGCGTACGACAATAGCACATTTACCAACGACGATGGCCAATTGCCAGCGCTGGAGTTGCCGGCGTTTCCGGCGCGGCCGCCGATCTACGAACATTCTCGGTTATGAGCCGGAAGAGGCTCTTGCCCCGAAGAGTGCAATGTAAATAGTGTCTCGAGCTATATCGGGCTAGGCACGAATCGCGTAGCTGAAGATTGCCATAACCCATTAACGTCGATCGGAGATTTGTTACAAAACGGCCGCGCCACCGACGACGGAAAAATTGAAATTGATACAATTTATATTTTTCTATTCACGGTGGAAAAATACCAGGCATATATTTGGGAGATTATTTTTTTTGCGTCTCTCGCCGAGACGTTGATGGGTTAAAGTTCCTCATGCCGAGACGAGACTTGCGAAATTGTGCCAGGGCGCGATTTACCAAGCGACAACTGCGATAATTAGGAGCTCTGTTTTGTTTGAGAGCGGCGCAATTGCGAAATATTCACGTGCGCGCGACGGATTACGCAAGGCTTTCGATAAAGAAGTTTGCGAAAGCTTAATAAACACCGACAATCTTCAAGATGCGCTCTGCATTCTTAAAACGGAAATTTGCAACGAAGGATGCACCAGGTGTAAACTTTTGTAAAAAGAAAATAAAAACGACGATCCCAATATCCAGTGCAAGAGCTTAAGACGGCAGTTACGATCTGCAATTACGGCCTTTTAGGAACGTCTACCAAGATCAATCCAGATGTGTCACCGAGTGATTCACGCACGCACACGCGTGCGCACTCATACATTCACCACGAATTGCATCTCGCAAAAGTGTTTTATTGAGAAAATCACATAAATTAATATTAGGCTAATATTACGTGGCTAACATTAGTTTTGGTGTTATCACATGTCACAGACAGCCTGTCGAGTTCACCATGGCGGATAATACAAAACGGTAATGACATATCATACATTTGCTGTATGGACCGCGCTGATGAAACGCTACACACAGGATGCGAGTAATTCTACGTACAGGATGCGGATTAGCAGCGCTTGAGATTCATCGTCCATCTCTCTCTCTGTCTCTATATACAAATTATTTAATATAAATAAACGAGTCTCTATACTTGTCAATATACAAAAGTGATAATCGCGGAGGAGGAGTCGCGGGGTGTCCTCCCCGACGGGGCACGGCGTCGCCTCGACGAGGGGGTTTTGTCATGAGAAATGCTGTGTACATATCTACATACAGAGCCGTACGGACGACACATGTACGACGTTCTGCGAATAAATATAGCGTAATGTAAATAGCTTAAGAGTGCACGTCGCTGCAACCAGGTTGATCTACCTGCGTGCGCCGGACGACGCTGCCGCAATTACGTCGACGAACGCAGATAGGAAACGGAGGGAGGGAAGAGAGGGAGGGAAGTACGTGTGGATGCAGTGCGTAAATAAGCGTAAAGACTAAAGCCTCCTTTCGGGTTCGGCAAACTCTAATACTTTGCGAGCCGGTTAACACCTGACGACTTAGCGCGATAATGCTCTTAATACTAAAACGGATCCTCCCGTTTGACGAACGTCATGCAGCGGCTTTGCGCGCCGGTTCGTCGACACGCAGCGACTTTGTGCGTTTATTTTGATTGACGGCAATGTTATTCGGGACTTTGCGGAAAGTTTCCAAACCCACGCACCGTTTTCGACATCAACGCGATTTCGACGTCCGATTGCGTCGGCGCACTTTTACTCCGCCAAATCAGACCTCGTTACGCACAAGCGCAAGCATGCGTCCTCGGAAGAAAGACGCGTCTGACGCGACAATTGGATTCGCACGTAAGAGAGGAGGCGTGCCGTCGGCCGCTCGGAACACAAACGTTCGCGTCGCTCGGTCTCATTCACACCGCATTGTCCGAAAAATAAAAGATATCTCTGGAACACTTAAAGACTGTGACGAGTTGCAAAAGTATGCCGCAACATACGCAAACCGTCCTTTCCACACTACTTATTTCTCGTTATTGATTGTCTCGATCGCTCCAAGTCTCTCGACGAGCTTAAACCACGCACGTAAACGCAGGTATAAATCGCGCAGCCTCCCTCTGCACCGCGCGTATTCTTCCTCCCGTATGATCGCAACGATCAGCGAAGGAGTCAGTTCTCTCGCGATTTCGATCCGTACAACTCGGCGTAATTTCGCGAGATCCATCGCGATTCAACACTCCTCCGTGGACGTGCTGGAGATCTGTGTACTGGCGCCGCTGGAGAAGCTGCTCCTGCAGGTCTCCACGGCGAGGGCGGTGTCCGGCACCTGGACGAACTGCACCTTCTCCTTGGGCCACCTGTTCCTGCCGTAGACGCAGTTGAAGATGTTGTAACGGTGATCCATCTCCAGCTGGCTCAGAGTGCTGCTGTGTCGACGCTTCAGCACCTTCTTCGCCATCAGGCTGCGATTGTTCTTGTACGAGAGCTCGCGATGGAAGCAGAAGACCTTGCGCAGCTCCCGTTTCACCCGTCGAGACCGATAGCCGAAGAGCAACGGGCTCGCGTAGGCGGCCAGGATCAGGAAGCTGAGCGCGAGCACGTCGTACTCATGCGGGAACAGATAATCCGAGTACTGCGGCAGGTTCTTGATTATGCTCAGCAGCACGTACGGCGACCAGCAGATCAGGCCCATGACGATTACCAGCGCGCTGATCCTGGCCGCCCGAGTCTCCTCGCGATACCTAAACAGGGAGCCGTTGCTGATCCGATGTTTGAGAGAGTTGATGTAGCTGCTGGTGCTGCGTATACTGGCCACTCGGTGCAACGTGCCCGGCCTGCCAGGCGCCGGGGTGATCGTCACGATAGGTGTCAGTAGGCAAGACGAGGGCTCTAGACTATTATTTCCGACGTTCTCCACGTTTCTGCCAGTCGCGTACGATTCCACGTTGGCGTCGAAGATGCCGGGTCTCGACAAACGGCGACTGGGCCGTCTCGATCTTTTGTTTTCCGCGTTACCGCTGGAATTCGGGACCTCGCTTTGCTCCCGTTCCGTCATGTTGACCGCGACAGAGATCTCCTCCTCGTCGACGCGACGAGCCGTCGTCTTGAAAGAGTCCCGATCGGGATCTTCCGCGTCACCGCGCAGCTCCTCCGTCCTCTCGAATCTAGCGACCGAAGACAGGAGACAATTGGAGGACCTTCGATCCGCGATCTTGCGAGTTATTTTAGGAACTTTCAAAGAGTCGAAGTAATCGTAGCGTCGCTCTCGCTCGTCTTCGGACTCGGAGCCACTCGAGTCCGCCCCGGCGATCCATCTGGAGGATTCCACGATCTCGTCCGTCAGATCGCACGAGGATTTCCGTCTCCGATCCGCTCCCGAGTCGCGGAACTTGTTCGCGACGAGGCTCTCGTAGGACGAAACACCGCGTTCTTTCTTGAGGTAGTTCGCCTGCAGATCCGCCATCTCCGGCAGATTGCTATCGTCCTGATCGCGCGGCGACGACACTTCCACCGGTTGCAGTCCTACCGTGAAGACGACCCCCGACGATGTCTTCTCGTCGCTCGCCCCTGTCTGTACGGCGTCCGAGGACGATGAGAAAGATCTCCGACGTGATATCTGATTGGCCGAGTGCGCGGTCTCGCTGGTCTCGTCGATGGACGAGAGACTCGAGATCTTGGGTATTCTGCGAAACTCTTCTGGGAACGTGTCGGCGGACTGATGCTGCGGCTTCGCGTAACCGTACGGGTCTTCGCTGAAGCTGCCCGACGAAAGAATCGGCCGCGAGCCGGTCCTGCGAGTTCTCTCGGAATTTCGATGCGCGGCTGAGTAGATGCTGACGTAGATCCAACAAACGCCGGCGAACGGAAGTAGATACGCGAACACACTGTGTACGACCGTGTAGATGAGCCCGTAAGTAACAGAGTCATTGGTCGTGGTAGGGAAAATCACGGTAGAGTTCTCGAGGAAGTCGATGCCGCTATCGACGTTGATCGACTCGATCGTTTTGAGCAACGTCGAAGTGGCGCCGACGATCTCCTCCTCCTCCTCCTCGCTGGTCCCGTTGCCGAAGAACGCGAACGCGGATTCGATCGACGCCTCTGCCGTCGCGGTAACGTTCGGCGCGAATGCGTGCCCGCTGTAGGACGAGTTGTTCGACAGCACCACCGTCGTGCTGCAGGACAGCCACAGGCTGCGCGGACTCGGGTTCAACGCAGCGATCAAGCCGAACACCGCCGAGACCAGCCAGATGGAGACGATCAGCACGGCCGACTTGAGCTTGTCGACTCGAGCCCGGTACCGCAGCGGGTCTACCACAGCGAAATACTGGTCGACGGCGATCAGCAGGACCGACAGCACTGACGACGTGGTGACGAGCGCGGTGGCACCTTCCGATATCGCGCAGATATTGCCGGCGGCCGATGCGGACGTCGACGTCGACGTCGTCGACATCGGGTCAAACGACGACGCGATGTCATCCGGCGTCGACGTGGCCGTCGCCAGAGTGTCTGCCGCCGCCGGGCCGTCCATCATCAGCAATGGGTTCAGCACGGCGCACGTCAGTAGATTCGAGATGGTTAGGTTCATCACGAATCTAGAATAGAGACAGAACAGGCCGTTTCAACATCGAACACTGATAATGTCCGACACCTGTGCGATTGTCTTAGATTAGCGCTCGATGATTGATTGAATAGCAAGCAGTTCTTTTTTTCTACGAATAACAGATCGACAAGATGAAGGACACATTTGCAGAAAAGAGAGATGCAGGACGGAATGTACGATGAGAAGGGAAAGACAGCAAGTATTTTTTTATAGAGGAAAGTCCTCCATTATGAGATACGTTTCTAATGTGAGATAGCAGATCTTCAACGCCCAAACTCAGTCACAAATCTGTTTTCGCGACAGTGAATTTTCCACTAAACAAGATTTCGCTCCAAAGGCGATAAATTCCGGGTGGAAACAACTGACGATGCCTATTAATTTAACGGAAACGCCGCTATCCCAGGATCCCATCTCACAATAGGACACTTTCCTCTACACGTATACAATATTTTACCATTCCCTTTTACACGCGTGCCAATTTTGAATCGGTACGACTTGACAAGTGACACAAATACAAGCGTAAAATTGGTGAAAAGCGACATCAGAGGAGATACAAAAGCGCAAAAGGTAGAGAGGATAGCTGTGCGTCGTCGTCTATTTTTTTGCTACGCTTTCGATTATAAGCTACGCGGCATTTCGTGACAAACGCGAACATCGTCACGTGAATTGTACCGAATCGCTCAACACCTTTACTCCTCGTGGATGGATTATATTCGCCGTTTCTGCCAATATGACAAATCCGTCTCGGAAACGGCGACATTTAAAGGATTCATAATGTTTCGTTTCACTTGTTTGCGCTGCCGATAGGTCGACGAGCGAATTCCGTCAATTAAGGCTCGCTTTGATCTAAGTATAGCTGGGAACTATCGTTCGCGTTACTTTGCAAAACGTCGGGCGCGCGATAATAAATGAATTTTCCTTTTTACATCGGCAGAACCGAGTGTTACACACAGTTTCCGAGCCGCACTGTTAACAGCGACGAAGCGTTCTGAAAATACGACAGGTTTATTATTACATTTCGTTGCAGCGGTTGCCAGAGTTCGGTACACGGCGAGTAATTGATTTCCTGGCTCAGCAGGTGGAAGTCTACGTAATAACAATGATAGATCCAGTGGCGCGTGGCTCTATTAATACACCTTACTAATATCAGCTGCAAGCGTTTGCTGTCGCGGAAATTAGTCGAGACTCGGTCCAATCGAGTTTCGATAAACGAGAGCTGACGTTACGCTCGTCTCCCGACGCGGCGACGTTATTTACGGCCGCGCGATATTCGACCGGCACGACGTTCGATTTGCGCGAAATTTTATTTCCACGGTAAGCAAAGATATCCCGCGATCCGAATACGTCGGTCATCTTCGCGTCTCTCACGTGGGCGGTTATTTTTACGTTGTCGGCAAATGTGCAAATTTCCAATTAAAATTACACGAAGACGCCTGCCCGCCGCCTCCGTCTTTCCGCATTACGTCGCGTCGCCCTCGACGCGACGAGATCGCGAACTGGAATATTTAGACTGGCAGAGTCCCACGGGGAGCACGAGATTCGCGCGGTCTATAGAAACGACGCTTCGAAACGCTATTTTATTTACGGGCACGATGGAAAATACATCCGTGTGCTCCATATGCAGAAGGACGCGAGCGCGGGCGAAAATAATTCTCCCGCTGTCGCTTTGAATCTTTCGGCGTTCTCGACGGTATCACATTTTAGCACCGATTCCTTGAGATCCCCGGAAGAGATTCTGCTTTCCTAGAAGCACGTATTCCCCGCGATTGAATCCAAATTATAACCAAACATTCGGGATACTCCCCGAAACGGTCCTAATTCTAAAGCGTGGTCTACAATGGCGACAGGAGTAGTGGATTAAAGAAGTACGGGTTAGACATAGGCTGTAGAATTAAGGTTCCTTTACCCTTGGTCCACAATCTTATTTTAAGTAAGCTGTAAACCTTAAGCCGTAAGAAATTAACCAATCAGGCATTTATTCCCCTTACTCTCCCCTGTGATTGGTTAATTTCGTACGGCTTAAAGCTTACAGCTTACTTTAGCAAAGTTGTAGACCAACACTGAAGGCTGGTCTACAATACATGGAGTAAGCTGGAGTAAGGAGTAGGAGTAAGGAAATAAATCCATTTTATTTCCTTACTCCTACTCCTTACTCCAGCTTACTCCAGCTTACTCCATGTATTGTAGACCAGCCTTGAAGGCTATGATTTTCTTACTTCTTACTTCCAATGTAGACGGTCCTAAATGGAATTGAACCATTTCGCTTACAGCCTTACTCTACGCCTACTATACCGGAAGCACGAGCTTACTCCGACGTCTTTTACAGCTTTAATCCACCACTCCTACTGCCATTGTAGACCACGCTTGACACGTCCGCGGAGAGCGAGTAGCAGTAAGATATAAATATCGATCGCGTGACGAATTTCTATTTATTTGTAATCGCGGCATCGCCGCGTCATTTCGTCTTCAATCGCGGTAAAAGCCAGACGAGGTCGATTATCGGCTTGGGAGGAAAAGAAATGCGAGCGCCATCGATGCATGGGGGTTATTAACCTTGGCACGGAACGCAACAACGCGTGAAATAAACGCATCGTGTATTATTTATTGTCGCCGTCTCGGTGCATATTACGCGAGAGTATGGCAATGTCTAAAAATACATATTATTTCCACTCCCCTCTCGCGCACGCTGGTCTTATTTCCGGTTTGGCACGCGACACCCAAGACTCGCGTTCGCTCGTTTGTCCCGTATCTTTGCGGTCTTAGCTGTCCGCGAGAAACGATTACGCTCGTCGGCCGCATGCGTCAACGAATTTGAAAAACTGCCGCCCACGAGGATTGACGTCGCTCGCGTGACTGACAGGGCCGCTTATCGACGGCAATGACATCGGCGATAGCAATTTTGCAACCGCATTAACGTCAACGATATTATTTATCCCTTTACCAGCCGGGCAAACAAGTGCGCAATAATTCGCAGCTACTATTCTCTTTTCGACATCGAATAGCGAAATGTTTGGAAAACAGAGAGATATGGCGAGATGTTAGCTGAAAGCCTCGAGGGATTGATAGTGCGACAGTGAAGGTCCGATGATGATGCTTCGCGCTCGAAACCGAGCATCTTCAAGCTGATTATGCTCGGCGAAAGAATCGGTCCACTAACCTGTTAGAGATGGTGCGCAGTGCCGGCCTGACGAGAAACGCGAGCAGGAGAGTCGCGTTGAGAAGGAAGCAGCCGAAGAGCACGAAGCTCCAGGCCGCGATCCCCGGATTGTACCACCATCTTTCCAGACCTCCCACGTCCGCATCCGATCCTCTTCCAATTCCCGTCGCAGCTCCATCCATTCATAAATAATAAGTGTACTACGGGGCCTGGAACAGAACGCAGCGCCGTTTCCGTCAGACCCTCCGATGTGCAAGCTCGAGATCAACGCTGATCCCTCGGTTAATTAGCGGAATATATAATTAGAGAGATTGCCGAAATGTTGCACATTAAAATCGATTCTAACACCATTAATTCGAAGAAAGACCCCGGGAATCTTTACCCTATTATTAGTTCTATTATTCTAAGATTCTATTATTAGTTCTTTGACCTGATTGTTGGTCATCCATTAATTTATTTCTATCTCCCTCTCGATGTTTGACCTAGACGTTTCATCATACTTACACTTCTCCAGTTAAGGTCGGCTAAAACTTATTTATTGTTAATTTAATTTAAAATCCGTAAACTTCAGTCGTGAAATTAACTTCGTAATATTCATAAGTCGATATGCGCAGAACGCGAGTTAAGGATCGTCTACAATAGATGAAGTAAGTCTGGTGTAAGAAGTAAGAGTAGGAGTCAAGAAATGAATCGTTTCCATTTCTTACTCCTACTTCAGCTCTCGACGCTTACTCTCGGCGAATTAGAGCGCAGTTCGACCGGTGCTACAAATTTTTTTTTAATTTTGCCTGTACTTTAGCGTTTACACTGAAAGGTGACGATTAGTCCCAGTCTACAATAGATGATTTAAGCCCTAAGCTTTAAGAAATTGGCCAATCACGGTCAAGTATGAGTAGAATGCGCGACTGTGATTAGTCAATTTCTTAAGGCTTAGGGCTTAAATCTCTATTGTAGACTGGGACTAAAGTTTTCTTACTTCTTACTGCTTACTTCCAATGTAGACGGTCCTTTAAAGAAATTCAAGAAGAGACGGTCCGCCCGACACGTCCTTGATCCGCTCCGGGCGAGTTAAAAAAAAAAGTTAGACCACCGCGCGTTGAAGTCCTCGGACACGGTCCGGTTTCGTCTCACGGGCGACGCTGGAGAACTTCCTGTTGCAGGATCGCGTCCTCGAAATGGGGCCAATTCCGCGCGACGTCGCGGGGAAACGCGGTGCGCGACCCCGACGCACGACGCCCCGAAGGAGTTCCCGTCGACACGTATTTTTAGGCGGATTTCCCCGTACGCACGTGCTGCAAAAATATCCGCGTGGACACGCACGCGCGCGAACGAGATTCTCGTCGAGATCGCACGGGGGGGAACGGACCTAAGGCGAGGGACGAGGCACACGCGACGGGAAAA